TGGAGGGAATTGTATGCATGATGTCTGCAACAAGCTATAGAAGGGACAGACTTTTCAGTAGACTCACATGTGGATGTATGATGTGGCCACACTGGTGTTTAAGGTTGGAGGTTTAGGGAAGGGTTTAACTGAATATGAAATAGCAGTGGATGGAACAGGACATTAATCATGAGAGAACTGTGGCCTCAGTGGCGTGGTGGTTAGCGTAGTCGCCTCACAGCAAGAAGGTTCCAGGCTTGAGCCTGGGCCAACCCATGTCCTTTGTGTGTGGAGTTTGCACGTTCTCCCTATGCCTGTGGGTTCTCTTCAGGTACTCTGGCTTTCTCCCACAGTCCAAAGACATGCAGCTTACAGTGTGTCTGAGACCTGTGGGTCAGGGTCAACATTTCATTTCTGCAAAAAAACAACAAAAAACAAACAAACAAAAAAAACACAATGACTTAAAAGATGGAATTCGATGTTGCTTTGGTTGGTGTGACAATGGAAAAATACCACTCTGTCTTGATCAGGTTTACTCAGGTTGTTTGTGGGCAGGTCATACATACTTAGTCAGCGCCTTGTGTTGATGATAACTAAGTGATGAAGGTTTTCATAGTCATTTTATCAGGTTCTCATGACATGATAATTAATTCTTAATATGACATCAATTATGAGGTTTATACATTAACAAAGCTTAGTTCTAGTTCAGGGTTAATATAAAAAGGCTCCTTTAGAAACATTTTTGGTTTCCAGGCTGTGAAATTTTTAGTATTTATTCATGTACATTTTTATTTAAATTTTAGGTGGTCATCTGAACCAAAATCAATTCTTTATTTTCAGCTACAGTATTAGGAAGTTTTAAACTGTTAGGTATTTTTAGTCAGATAGATATTGGTTAGATACTTGATGTATTAGAAATGTTTAGAGTAGACAGGATGTCTAGCTCAGGCTGTTAAATGCTTAGTCATACTCATGAGTTGCTGCAGGATGCTTATGGTCAAGGATAACTAGTGAAGTCTTCCGGTTCTTTTTACCATTGCTAACTTTGAGAGACGAAGCAGTCCAAGTAACTTCAGGCAGCTGAAGGATGAAAGACCCTGAACCACAACAGGCCTATACATTTATCTCTTCGGTTGGGCTAGCCCCATACTACACAGGAACGTCAACCTTGACGTGTCCCTGGTGCCAGCTTTGCAGCTGACCATAGCAGTAGTCAAAACATGAAGAAAATCTGTTGATTAAGTGGTGTGTATCTAAAAACATTCTGACATGACATCTAGTGACATGTCATGACATTAAACATAAGAAAATATTATGATTACGATTACGGTTAAACACATCATAATAATAACAATAATCATCCTGTCTTCTAACAGTCATCAACTTTTCTATCTAGTTATCCTTGACCATATGCACCCTGTAAGAAACTCATGATCATGATGAGTTTCTACAGGGTACATCTGGTCAAGGATAACTAGAGAGAAGAGTTGATGACTGTCAGCAGACAGGGTGTTTAATATTATTATGACGTGTATAACTGTAGCCATAGCCATAATATTTTCTTATGCTTAATGTCACGACATGTCACTAGAGGTCGTGTTAGAATGTTTTTAGCTACACGCCACATAATCAACAGACAATCACACATTGATTTTCCTCATGTTTTGACTACTGTTCTGGGCAGCTGCAAAGCTGGCACCGGGAGGTGTCTCTCTCTGTAGAATGGGGTTAGCCCAAAGTGATATAATGTATAGGCCTGTTGTGGTTCAGGGTCTTTCATCTTTCAGCTGCCTGCGTGCATGTTGGAGGTGCAAGATACCTGAGCGTGTAACGTTAATTTTTACCTGTGTTCATTGAATAAATCAGCACTGTTTTGAAGTTACTTGGACTGCTTCGTCTCTCAGAGTTAGCATGGTAAAAAGAACCGGGTACAACAAAACCCATAACTTAGAGATGATTAATGACAATTATAACTGCAGACTTATTAGTCATTCATAAAAGGTAATTTCTCACTTTATTCAGCATTCATGCAGTTGTACATTAAATTATGTTACATCATTAAAGGATTCTTCCCTTAAAGTAATCAATCATACCTGAGGTTTGAGTGTTAATAGTGTGAGTGCAATAAAACATGGCCCAGACAGTGTGACCCCCTCTTCACACAGATCTTCAACATATCACTGGAGCTGTGCTTCAAACGCTCCACCACCATCCTGGTTCCCAAGGAACCCTCCATCAGTGGACTGAATGGCTACAGACCTCTTGCCCTGACATCTGTGGTCATGATGTCCTTTGAGACACTGGTGTTGACCCACCTGAAGGACATTGTAGACCCCCTGCTGGACCCCCTGCAGTTTGATACTGTAGGGTTTGCATTCATACCAGCAGCTCTGTGAAATTTGTACTTAGCAGCAGCTGTGATTTGAGTTAAATGCTAATACATGCTAACATGCTCACAGTAATAATGGTAACATTTGAATCACTGTCAGCAAAGTTATTTCATCGGAGTTGGTGATGTAGAAAACTGCTACATGATTTGATGTACTAATGTAATAATATATACTCAAGGCTTCAGTCTCTTATTGGGTGTTTGTATGATGCAAAAAGTCCCCCGATGAACAGGCATGCAGCTATCAGATGCTGATGAAGATCAAATTTTGTCATTCAGGGCAGAATGAGGACACCAACTTGCAGCTGATCATACAGGCAGACTAACAAATGCAGCTTGGGGTTCATGTGGAGAGGGTGGTGGGAGATGAAATAAAAGGGAGAGAGTAGCTTTACCCTGTGGGGAGCCTGCAGACTTCTTTGAAAAGTTCTCTGCTTCTCATTCTAAATCAGCACACAGTCAGCAGAAGCAAGGGAAAGA